CCATCACAATTTGGTGGCCTACTGAGGTGGGCTGCAAGAGCAGCTGCCCAAGCTGAGTTCTGCAACCACCTCTACCCATTTGGGTTCTTCCCTTTGGGAAAGGGGCTGTGTCACACCTCCCTGCCTTTGCCCATGCTGTCCCTTCATCCTGTAGAGCCCCAACCCACTCACACAAGTCCCCTATCCACTTAGATAACACATTCAACTGTCAGAAGTCAACACAAATATCACCTCCTCCATGAAGCCCTCTGTGATTCTCCCCTATGTCTCCACAGAGCCCTCCACAAATCTGACCACAAATTCTTAACTCTTTAGACACCAGGTTCCCCAATCTGGTGGTGAATGAAATTAACCTACAGACTTATTTAAAATAAAACAAAATAAGCAAAACCGGATTTCTGGACCCAAGGCTGTTTTATAGAAGTTTGGGGAAGATGGGCCTGGGGTTGAGTGGGCAGTTTGCAAGGGAATCTGATGTACTTTTGTTCACTCATCTGCGTACAGGTCTGGTTCCCTGGTGCTCTGTGTGTGTCCTTGGGGATAGGGCCCCGTGGACACACCTGGCACATGGTACGGGCACGAGAAATGTGTATGACGGGAAGGAGGGGCATGCACGCATGTGCACACGTGGAGGGAGCACAAGAGGCAAGGACTGAGGAGCCTGGCCAGAGTGCCCAGCCTGGTGCCCCTGGCAGGAACAGAGCCCTGGGTCACAGGCCACAGACCACAGCACTCACAGCTCTCCTCTGCCAACCGTTTAGCAGTCCACCCAGCAGCGCCGCAAGTGATACATCTGTCTTCTCATTTCTCTTTTGTTTAAAAAATCAATACACCGTTTATGTAGGCCGCAGTGTCAGAGCAGAAACCTGTACTTTGGAAACGACAATTTCTGTGCCATTTTTGTTTTCCATAATTGTTTCCTTGTTGTTCTCTCTTCGCCGGGAGAGGCAGGCATTTGAAAATGCCAGCCTGGCGGCTGTGCTGAGGGGAAGTGGGGAGCAGGCAAGGAGGGGCGAGGCAGGGCAGGAACCAGAACAAGACACCCCAGACTGGCCAGAAATCTCTTCCACACCACAAGTTGTGGAGAGATTTAGGTTTCTTTTTCTCCTCTTTGTGGGGATCCCCTCTCTATCAGAGATGCAGGTCAGCAAATTTAGGGGGAAGAGACCAGCTGACTCCCACTCTAGGGTCCAGGCCCAGGCACCCCTCACCTCCTGATTCCCAGTTCCAGACCCACCCTCAAAATCCAGACAGCTCCTTTGCTCAAAGACTGCAAGAATTCTGTCTGATAAATAATACCATTCCCGTGTTACACTGCGTGCTTACAAGGGCTGGGCCTAGACACACAGGGTCACCTCCCTGTCCCCAACATCGCAGCCCCAGAGGATAGTTGCTTAGACCTCTGATTTACATACTAGGAAATGGAGGACAGTACATGTGACCAAGGCCACATGGTCAGAAAGAGGCAGACCTGGGATTCAAACTTAAGAGCGGCTGATCGCAAAGCCCAGGCTCTTAACCCACCTCTCTGCGGCTTCCTGTTCTCAGTCTCATGGCTTGTACCCTGAGTTTAAGTCAGTCTCTTCTCTTTGCCATCAACCACCGAG